CACTTTGCCGCCGTTCTCCTGAAACCGTTCTCCTGCTTTCTATTCGTTGGCTATCAAAGAAATTTCTACACGCTGGACTCGAGGCTAAAGAAGCGAAGTACGAAACACAGCGAGCTTAGTAGCTCACAGCTCTTCGAACAGTCCGCGAAAAACGAAATGAAACGTCGAAGTATCGATAGAAAAGGGTCGCGTGTAACTCGCACTATACGGCCGAAGAAAAAAAGACCACCTCCAACGAATGTAGAGATGGAGAGCGAGGAAACTTATACAAACAAAACCTCGGAAAAGCTACACAAAAAATCGAACGTTACGTTTGATCCTGAAATGTCATTTTGTATTCTGCAATTCTGCGCTGTGTTTACAGCAATATCTGAATGTGTCGCTTGTAAACAATGTAGAGGTGCAGTTAAATTTTTACAATCGAATGTTCGCGGACTCGGTTTTAAATTAAATATTAAGTGTACTACGTGCGATAAGATAATTAATAGCGTATATTTGTCACCGCTAATAGGGACTGCATACGAGATCAATAGACGATTGACTTTCGCTATGCGTATTCTTGGTAAGGGACTACAAGGAATACAACGTTTTTGCGGCATAATGGATTTGCCGAAATATGTCGCACAATGCTCCTATGGTAAGATTATGGGCAATATACACACTGTCGCGAAAGTCGTTGGAATGCAATCTCTGAAAGAGGCTGCTGAAAGTGAGATCCAACAAACCAACGATGCTGAACATCCAAATATACCAGACGGCTTAAAAGTATCCGGAGACGGCACCTGGATGAAACGCGGCTTTTCGTCGTTATTTGGTGTCGCGAATATTATCGGATGGTACACGGGAAAAGTGATTGATCTTTTTGTCAAAAGTTCGTATTGCAAGGAATGCGAAGCTCATGAAAAAGATAAGGATTCTGCGGAATATGAGCAATGAATAAAATCTCACGAGGAACAATGCTCAGCAAATCACACTGGAAGTGCAGGAAAAATGGAATGTGACGCCATGGTTCAAATGTTCCAACGATCAGTCGAATTATATAATACCGCATACGCATATTATATTGGTGACGACGACTTTAAGACATTTTCCGCCCTTCTGAACGCGTGTATATATGATAACATAATACCGAAAAAATTGGAATGTGTGGGCCATGTGCAGAAACGCATGGGTAGATGGCTTCGCAACGTAAAAAACACAAAGAAGCAGCGAAAGCTACGAAGTCGAGGTCGGCAAGCCTGGAAGGCAAGGGAAAATTAATGGCATCGTTAATTGACAAATTAACAGTGTATTATGGTTTGGTGATCCGAAATAATTGTGACTCGGTACAAAATATGAAGGACGCGATTTGGGCTACATTTTATCACAAAATTTCCACTGACGTCAAGCCACAACACGTATACTGTCCGCCCGGAGCCAATAGTTGGTGCACGTGGCAAAAAGCGAAGGCTGAAGGCTCTCTAAAAAATTACAAACATCAACCTGCTTTACCGGAAATTGTACAGACAGCCATCAAACCCGTGTACGAAGCTTTAAGTAAAGAAGATTTACTGCAAAGATGCATGGGTGGTTATACGCAAAATAATAACGAAAGTTATAACCAGATGATTTGGAAACTTGCGTCCAAGATAATCTTTGGTAGCCTGCGCATTGTTGAAATAGCTGCTTACGTGTCTGCGAGCGTTTTTAACGACGGAGCCGATTCATATTTACGCATAATGGATTTGTTGGGCATCCAAGTTGGACGAAATACGTATGAATATTGTCAATAAGAGGATTCGAACCGTCTCAAACACGCCCGCATCAAAGCGCAACAAGCGACAAGGGAGGCTCGAATTGCTCGTAGACTTTCTTTATCGAAGCAACACATGACTAACGAGGCACAGGAAGGTACTTCTTATGGCGCTGGAATAGCTGAGTAATAGTAAGTTTGATTATACAAAAGTTATATTATGAAGTTCTTATATCAAAACTTTAAACGCGTTTTTCTCGAAACGCTGTTTTCCGTCAGTGTCTGCACGATAACTCATCGAGTTTTCAATATTTCTGGATACGCCTTAGATGAAAATATTCGTAATTAAATTCTCTATCATCTGTCGAGGGCGTTTTTCGATTTTCCGTTTCGTTTTTTTTTTAACAACAAATGTGACGAAATTTTGAAGAAAATGTGTATTTTTCTTTTTAAAGTTACGCCATTTTATTAATTTTGCGAAATTCAAAAATTCCCCCCGAGGGACCATAACTACAACCTTTATGTTTAAAAAAATATTTTTGTTTTGCAGATCGCACGAACGTACAGGACGGAATCATGCAGACACTGCAAAAATCGGGTTTCACGCCATGTTGCGTCATTTTCACAATATTTGCTCAATCGAACTTTCGTTTACATTTTTTTGTACTGAAATGTATGTTATATAATCTGAAAAACACCCCGTATTGATATCTTTATCTCAGGCTGAGAAAAAATTTCTCGAAAGTTGGCTTTTTTTTACGAGTGATGAACATATGTGTCCCCTTAAGTCGAAATTTCAAAATTCTCAAAACTTATACTAATATGGCGGTTCCAATTTTGGAAAAAACATAGATTGTATAAAATCTATCGTAACTAAGGATTTCGCCCTGATAATATGTTTTCAAATTTGTTTTCCGGGAGGTTGCTGATTACGAATATGAGGTCAGAATTGTAAGTTTTCTAAAATTCAAGAAGACGGACACAATATGGCGGATCGAAATGTTCAAAATCTGACTGATTTACATAAAATTGTGTATCCGAAGGTTTTTGGGCTCACTGATTACGAATCTGAAGTCGAAATTGAGAAACTCAAGATGGCGGACCAATATGGCCGATTAAATTATGAAAATTAAACCGATTCACATCAAATTATATATCCGGGGGTTTCGGGATCGCTGATTTCGGATCCGAAGTTAAAATATTCAAAATGGTGGTCCCAATATAAGAGAAACAGTTTCGCTCTGGTTTCAAGTAAGAAAATCGACACCAATGTTTGTAGCATGAATTCGCGTAAGCCAATGGTCCTTGCTGCTGAAAAATGATTCTCTGAAAGTACTCATATGCTTCTCGCAATCGAGAAAAAGAGACGTTATTTTTTGTGTAATACTAAAACGAAGGTAGAATTTACACAGTGGACTTGCAAAATCTGCAATGTTCCTTTGTGCTTGGGACTATAGTATATTGGGACTAAACTATAGGAAGTCTATGCATCATAAATCGTGCGGACTATTACGTCAATCACCCTGTTATATGTATGTGAAATCCCCACTCGAATAAGTGGCTAGTAAGCAATTTGTTAGCAGTCTGCCGATAAATTGGCAACAGGTTTAATTAGAATCTGTTAACAGATCCATAAACATCTATGTCCGCATTCAGCTCGTTCTGTTGATAGAATCTGCTGATAAAATCTAAGAATAGATTGATGGCAGAAAGCAAGCAAAATCTTCTATTTAAATACAATACGTTGGAACGATAGATCCTGCTCAGTTTGTCATACTTTGCCATTAGATTCTGTTGTATTTCTACTAGCAAACTGCAACAGAGTTTACAGCAGACAGTGAGCAAAATTTACTTTTGCATGTTTGGTTATTTAGGTGTGAAGTGCTAAAAATTCATTGTCAAATCGTCTTGAAGCAATATTTTATCGCAAACGAGAGAGCTCGTTCTCAATGAGAAAAAAGGAAAAAAAGATAATTCTTTCAATGAATGTAAATGTTGAGAATCCTTATAGGTTAATTACTTTAATTATATTAATTATACAGGATGTCTCAGAACTTTGGCACACGGGCTCCATAGGGATATAGAGCTAAGTGAGAGGAACAAAAAAGTCCTCTGCCATAATGTGAAAATCATAATAGTCTTTTAATTATAACAGCGCAAAGTTAGGCGTTTTCCACGTCCAGCGCAGCTCATAAACGCTCCACGGCAAGCTGTGTGTGTGGGGGCTGAGCGGTAACGCGGCTCGCGCTGACCGTCGCGCGGCGTCAAAGCGCCAAGACGCCCTCACGACAATCAGCGCGAGACGCGTTATCGCTCAGCCCCTACATCACACAGCTTGCCGCGGAGCGTCTATAGGCACTGGGCATGGAAAACGCCTAACTTTGCGTTATTATAATTAAAAAACTATTATTTTCACATTATGGTAAAAGACTTTTTTGTTCCTCTCACTTAGCTCTATGTCCCTACGGAGCCCGTGTGCCAAAGTTCTGAGACACCCTGTATATGTGCACACATGTGTGAAGATAATATTAAAAAAATTTTTTATCGTATCAACATTTATTTATGGGAAAAGATTTTGTATCAATATAATAAAAACTGTAGAATCATAGAACAAATAGATTCATTTTATTCACATGTTATAGCCTTTATATTATTTAATATAGAACATATAATATCGTATAGATCAAATATATAAGGTATCTCACACATCCGCTCTTGTACAAGAATGATTAAACTGAATAAAAAGTCCTATATATTTTCCTATATTCCTATATATTTCCTATATTCCTATATATTTTGTAAACAGCTATAATTATTGATGCATTAATTAAATAAGATTGTCAAATGAGAGTACGCGTGTGACCATCTCTTTAGGCGAAGTCTCATTCAATAGAAAACGTTTAGACAATACGATCCAGCATACTATCCGCCATTGCCATGTGACCTTTTTGTCATTGCTAGATTGTCAATAGATTTAAACATTTTAGATAAGACTTTGTCTAAAAAAACTCGTCTCATCAGAATTACAACGTATTTACTTTAATTTTCTTTAATCTCAACCTTTGATATTTCTATAATTATCACAATAAATTCTTATCTTTAATATCTCAGTAAATATAGTGATTGTAAAATAGTGAAGGATCTTTTTATACAGTTTGACGAGTTCAACTGCACACAAACGAATATAAGCGCTATCAAACATATGTATGTGTGTATTAAAATCCACAATACAATATATACATAAAGAAAAAAGACTTTGACTTAGATATTTAATAAAGGATTCCTTTTATTTGTTGGAAAAATTATACCACCCAGATAAACAGCCAATAAACATTTTCTGATTTTCAACATTAATGTCATCCTTTTGTCTTCCACCTGTAGTTAAATCTTCATGTAAATTCAACTGAGAACAGATCCAATAATCGCGTCGACATAGCGCATCACAGCGGCGTTCAATTCTCTGCACTTCGCATCGTGCTCGCCGTAGATGACATTCTGCGTCAACAACAGCCACTCTCTTATCTCCAACAGCATGTCCAATAATTCACCGATCCCATCTTTCGGCAATGACACCAACACGCTTACGACACACTCCACGACGGCGAATCTTGCGGCCGCTTCGTTGTGATTTCTCAGTGTCCACGTGAGTTCTAAAATCTCCTTGGCTACCTTCAAGGCCAATGGACAGTTTTCCGCTGCCCGCATCATCACAGACAGTGTTTTGAGGTAACGCAACAACAAAATATTCTCTTGATCCGCATAGATCTTTAAACCTTGTAGCTTGCCGGATTCTTGTGGCCGACCGAAACCGTATAAAAGTGGGTACAAGAACGACGAGGCGACGTTCGCGAAACGATTGACGCTTGCTTTGGGTATCTTGGACTGGTGAGCGAATCGTCTCGTATGCGATTCGATCCTTTTCTCAATAATCTCCCGCCAGTCGGTGCCTTGACTGTTCGGCAGTCTCCGTAGATCCTCCACGTCTTCGTAGTAAAGTTCCTGCGTTTTGCGCGCTTTCGTCATGTCGATAAAGACAGAGACAGGACTCGAGATGGATTTCTTCCTCTTGACCAGCTTTGTATTCTCAGTGTTGCTTTTGGTTGTGTCTTCCAGCTTAATCTGCGATAACCGCTTCGCGGATTCGGACAGCACATCGAGGAATAACAAGCGGTGGCTCAACGAGTACTTACCGGCGTCTTCGTAAAACTGCATACACAGAAATTTGGCGCATTCTTTCGGGCGCACAACGACGATTTCGACGCAGCAGCGAAACACTATGTCCTCAAAGTTCTCCATGTAGGACTGCTGCCTAAGAGTGACGAGTAATTCCAGCAGCTCGACCGCAAAAGACGCGTCGTCGTTTGGCAGTTGCGTCCGTATGAGCTCTTCGCAGACCGACATGGATTCGGAGAAGACGTCGGGGTTGGAGAAGGTGCGCTCGTCCGTCAGATTATCGCGCAAGTCTCGTAGATACATTGGCCGCCATTTGCTGACTGGTTTGTCCTGCTCTTCGTTCATGTCATACGGCACCAAGTCGTCGTCACTATCCACTTCTGACTCGTCGTCCTCGTCTCCTTGAGAACTGTCTTGCGTGTTATCTTGCACATTCGATGTCACTTCCAGATCGTTAGACTTCTCTTCCTTCGTGACATTCGTACTTGAATTCGGATGGTCCTCCGTTTCTCCGTTCGACTCTGTTTGCAGACTCGGTAAGATATCAGCTACCAATTTGCGTATCTTTTTATCAACCGCAGTATCGACATCGTCGACATTGCTAGTCAAGCCATCGCTGAGTTCGCATACAGTCGGCGCATGCAGATGCTTCAGCGATTCGACTAACTGCTGCATTCGTGCGGGCATACCTTCGTAATCGAATGCTAACTGCGACATATCATTCTCGGACAGGCAGTTTGTACATATCTCGGCGGTGATCATGCCCATCGCTCTTACGTAAATATCCGTAGACTCCAAGTGTACAGATACTCCGACGAGCAGCAGCTGTCGGCACTGCTCCTTCATGCTTTGCTTCAAGCGATTCTTGCATACCCTCACAGACAAAATAACCAACCGCGAGATGTACTCATGCTGTTCGACGGGCGTGTGATTCATGATGCTGCTGTCGGCCCAGACGTTGATGAGTTTCATCATTAACTCCGGCAATGCGTCTTGATCCTCGCAAGATGACAGATAGGAAATCAAATTAAACATTAGGCTCTCGTCCTTATAATGGCGCATGAAGGGGATCTTCGTCGTTAGAACATATTTCCAATGTGGTGTGGTCAGCAAGTCTCCGAAAACAGGACGAACGCCGTATTTGGGCTCACTATGTTTTAAGAACAACGTGGCCATGTGTTCAACAGCCGTAGAGTCTAGTTCGCGAAGCACACTCCTGACAAGGCGCTTCTCGTTCTTAATATTCTCGTAACACCACTCCTTGAAGACATCGATGAGACAAGTTGCGTCATAAGTCGGCTTCGAAGTGATCAAGATTTTGCTGATCAGGGATGAGAGTATGTTTATTTTCGGCTTAATGTCGCATGTATACCAGCTATCGTTGACGAAATGCATCGCGCGGCACACGTGGAAGTAGAGCAACCTGACGTAGACCTGCGGCGTGTACAGTTTCGGTGTATCGAGCCGCATCTTATTAGCCACGCGACTCGGCAAGGAGACCAAAATTTGCATCGTACTTTGCCACGCCTGATCCAGCTCTACTTCCAACGAAAGACAATGCACTCGTTGAACACGGCACGTGTTCACTATAGCCGAGAATATCGCATCGCTCTTCAGTAGATCCTGCAGTATCGTCGAGATCGCGCAAGTCTTTCTCTCATCTTCGGATCTGCTCAGCGCGATGGTCAGGCGCCTCAAAGATTCTGACAACATTGGCAATGTGGCGCCATCAACGACCATTAATTTTATGATCAAAGGATCCAGACAGTCGTCTCGCTCCAACGGCCAGTTGCGATCAAATATGTCGATCGTCCTCTCTAAAATTCGCCCGTATGTCGTGACGTCCACTTCCGCGCCGTCGTCAACACCCATGTATTTCTGAGGAGTAATGGTCCCCGGTAAAAGCGTCACGTAGTTTGCCAAGGATGCTCGTATTTTCTCCAAGTTGCTGCGACTTTTAATGCGTCGCACGGCGCATAATACTTCCAACAATGCGACGGCGATACTCTCAACCGCCGTGATGTTCTCTTCGTTTTTATAAGCTGCAAGGAAAGGCTCATCTTGGGCGGATTACATTAGTTTCAAACTGAGAAGGTGCGCGGTATATTTCGTGCGCAGTTCTCTTTATTTAGAGCACATGCATCATCAATTTTAGAGGGAAAATTTTATACGTTCCTCGAAAAACAGTTCTGAGTTAACTCAGCACCTTGGAAGAAACAAGTCAATGCACATTTCTCTCTCTCTCTATCTCTCTTTCTCTCTCTGTCAAATTTTTACAGAAGTTGTGGAATTATACAAGGATAAAATTGGAATATAGTCGTAAAAATATATATTCAATTGCAAAAATACTGCAAAATTTGTGGAAATTTGTCAAAATCCGTAAATCTTTCAAACTCAATCGTAAATTCCAATTATAAACTTATTTGCTAAGAATTGCATACTAGTTATCATAATTAATGAATGTGATTAACATAAAATTCTCTTTCCAAGATGTTGAACTGGTAACGTTAAAATAGCTCGGTAATCGTATATTATTTTAACGCAAAAGTGCCTGTGTTATTTCATGACGGCGGGAATTTTCTTTCGACTTTGTCTTAACTGAGAAATAATGAGGGAAAATGTTAGACTACGTTGTACTGCACAAGTCTCGTGTGCATATGACATGTATGAACTCATGACTATTCATATCATCCAACAAAATACCGCTAACTCATTGTAACAGCAGAAACAGAGATTTCCTTGCAGTCGCACTACATATACAACACATACATATTCTCTATATTACCCCATCCCTCTCTTATTCATTCACCCACCTGAATAATTAATGGTGTTGGAAGGTACGTTGCTTATTCCCATGAAAATGTTGGAATTGCTAGGGTTACTTATTCGTCCATCAGTTAGCCTCATAGCTGGAGCATTCAAACTATCCAGATCCGACAAGAGATCCGTATTCAAGGATACTAGAGAGAAAGACGATACAAACTTATATATATCATACTATATTTATATTGTTAACCTAATATGTTACATTGTTTATATATGCACACGAACTAGTACGACTTTATTTTGTATTAAATTATCTTTATTTTGGCCCTACGTGTAAACGAGGATAAGTTAGAAATAGTGCGTCTTCTCGATGTGTAGTAAAATCATATCAATTCAAT